GTGTGTGTGTGTGTGTGTGTGTGTGTGTGTGTGTGTGTGTGTGTGTAATATATATATACACACACACCTTAAAAGTTATAAAGAAAAATAATCCTAACATATTTTTAAGTTCTCATAAAAACATGTAAATAATGCAAATATTACCTTTGAAAAGTATCCAACAAAATGACACCCTTTATCATCATTTTTCGTGAGAACATAGAACAGAAATGGCTCAACATCATAATATAGGGTTTTATGATCCAAAAAGAGTTTGGCAAGTAGACAGAGGTTTTGACAATAGATTTTGTTTATATTCCCATCCACTTCAAAGACTGACAGGTCATCTTTTCTGTAGATTTCTGTAGCAGGGGGATGGGTCCAGAAACATTTCCTCTGTTACAAAAAAGAACTAACTGAGTTAACACATCATAAGAAGAATCACATCATCCAGCTTCGAATATTTCAAACATTTATTTCAACCTGAGAATGTATCTTATCCTTACTTTAGAAGTCTTTCCAGGATAATTTATGTTTCCTACAATGACAGAATCTATTTTACTGATGACTCCCAAGTGTGTAAAATCTAAGACTTTGGATTTGTAACTTTCATATTTCTTTAATTAACTTGAAAAGAAACTGTATGTCTCAGAATTTTTTAACTGAAAGCCCATTTCTTACACAGTTTTGTTTAAATCTGATATCAAACTATTTTACCAGAATAGTAAATTAAGAAAACAAAAGTGAACAGCTGTAAATAAAATTCATTACCTTCTGTCTGTTCAATAATTTAACTCATCTTAAACACTTTTTATTAAACTATACATTTAAGACATTTTATTACCAACATCTATGAATCATGTTTTTAATGTATCAGGTTGATTGACTAAGAAATAGATTTGTTGTGACACCAACTGCACAAACTTGTTAGTTAGCTTATTTTCAATTCAGTAGAGAAGGTTAATAGCACAGTAAGGTAATATCTCACATGGTTTCTACACAAAAGAAATAACTGAGTTAACACATCAAAAGAAGAATAACATCCTCCAGTTGCAAAGATTTCAAACATTTCAACCTGAGAATGTATCTATCCTTACTTTAGAAGTCTTTCCTGGATAAGACTTCTAAAGACTTCCCTGTCACACTGTTTTCTTTGTAAACTCTTTTGCTCAAAGAGTAAAGAAAGTTATCTCGATTCCACTCACTTCTAAGCATTTGGATGTCACAAACTAACTCATTATCCAACACATTACTGTCACCTTATTTGCTATTACAGCACTTCACAAACAAAACGAAAGGTAAGTATAAACACAACTAAAATGTCAGAAGTATTTAATGTTGGTCTAAGTGAAATATCTACCTTAATAATGCTTATTTCTATTAACTAGTTTATAAAGAAGCTTTCAATCATGAATTTCATCAAATTCATATTAAACTTTTTATATAAATATATAAAAATGCATGCCATTAATATAATTTTCCAAATTTTTTTGTAGTCTTTTAGCACAAAGCTACATTATGGGCTATCTTTGCTCTATCTGGTGTGGGGAATCAAATCCTGGATTTCAGCACTGAAAGTCTTCATGATATCAGATGATATAAAAACCATATAACCCGAGTGCTTTCGAAGGTGGACCTTTCTTCTTCAGGGTTATAGAGTATTTATCATTTTGTAGCATTGAAAGCCTGTAAACTTGTCACTGACACACCAGAAAGGAGGGACTTTTTTTAAATGTACATTCAAATTTTAGTACAATTTGGACAATTGCATGTGTATGTGTACAGGTCACTATTAAGTGAAAAGTCTGATATTAAAACAGAACCACACTACCTACAATTTACACTTCAGAACATTAGAGGTGTAGCAATAGAAACAGTAATCTAAGGCTTGAGTCAAATAAAGTAGTGAAAAAAACTGTCTGTACCTATCTATAAGTTCAATACATTCCTTAGCATATATATTTGTAAGATACTCCTTAATATGCAGGGCTTATTAATCTGAAAACTTTGCCTCACAGAATGAATTTTAAAATATTCACTGCTATCTATAAACCACTAGTATGTAAAAAAGGGTAAATTCTTTAATAATTTTTTCTTGTGATCCATAAAAACTAATGTATGTCAACTTTAATTAGTACTATACTACACTATAAAGTCAATTTCCTTGCATTTTAAATATTCTGTATGTTTACTTGACAGTTTTTCACTTCAAATACACAAAGGATACTAGAACACTAAAAAAAACTTTACCCCGTATTATTACATTGATAGCAGCAAGTACTTGATTTCAGTATATATTTGTTTTCAAGATTCACATTACTTAAATCTAACTTATTTACAAACAATCAAAGTAAACACTCACCCTGTGTCTTTGTAAAATATTTTTGCTTTTCAGGTACTTTAGACAAAATTCACAGAAGAAAAGTTTAGGAAATCTGAAAACAAGAAAAAAAATTCAGATATATCCACTTCAAGAAATAACATATATTTAAAAGAGAAGGAGAGAGAAAAAGTAACAGTTAGTGTATAAATAGAAACAATGGGAAAACATTTACATACCATCCTCACACAGTAGAAAAAAAGAATCTATTCTTTCATTAAAAACAAATTTTAAGTTCTCTAGAAAACATTTTTTTTGCAACAGTTAACTGTACATATTCCAAGTTAAACAATTACCAGTCTCAAGCTGAGCACTGAGGAAAAATAGTACAAAGAGAACCTATCTCTACAACAAACCTATATTGAAGCAGATTTTGATAAATATGTTCTTCATTTAAGAGCAATAGACTGGGTTTCAGGTTTCTTTCTTACAAAAGTCTACAGGGGTAAAAATTACAGGACTGTTTTGTTAGGTGACACAGACTAAAAATAGTAGTTTTTACCTAGCATACTCTTGTGGGAAAGGAGATGAATACCATGTTTGAATCTCATAACATCCAAATTCTATAGAAACTGGATAACGAGTAGGAGGCTCCGCTGGTGACATCCCATGTCCAGTAGCCTAAAATATCAGAAATAAATTATAAAACCTATATCCATCAATAGTATACTCTAACATAAATCATGGCTGGTTTTTGTAGTTCAGTGTTCTGTAACATAGTGTTACGAGATGAACTTACAAGTTCTAACAATGAAAATATCATGCTCACATAAAATGTCACAAATTGACCAAAATGAGTTTATTGTATTTTCCTGTTACATATTATGAAGTTTATATTAATGACTAAAATTTTTACGTATAAAATGCTCAAAAACTACTCAACTTTAACTGTGTGTAAGATATTCAGCCTGTTTACAGTTCAAGATACATGAACCATTAAAACTCTCTCTAGTTGCAATATTATTGGGTAGCTTCAACATAAGTCAATCATCAAAACATAAATTTACTTTTTATTATTTTACAATTTTTCAAATAGAACAAGTATTAGATCACATGCACAGTTTTTGGAATAGTTAACTATACAAGTCAAAGCAATGCACAAATTACTCTAAATGAGAAAAAAATGAGTAAGCTATAGGAACCTACCAAAACTATCTAGACATTTTAAGTCATAAAGTCACTTTGTCCTAGTAATCACTCTTATAATGCAGTGTAATACAGCCCTTGACTTGAATAGCCACTACTATTATTTAAGGCATGTTCTCAGATTTTGAGAGAATGTCTAATGCAACTTGTCTTTTTTCTTTTCAGCCACTTGATAAGAAGAAGGCTGAAGTCTAACTGTTAAAATTAACCCCTCTAGGTAGTCCAAAGAGGTTCTTTAAAGATGTTAAAGATGTGGATTCTGATTTGGCCATTCAAGATGTTGATAAAATTCCACACAAATCAAACAGTGACTAATTTGCTAATAAAAAATCCAACCACAGCCCTGGGATGTTTATTTTAAAGCCTTTTCATGGGAAGTTCTTTGTATTTATACTAACTAATTTCCCTCACAGGGCATCCTGAATGGGCTATGTGTTTTGTTCAAGGAGCATCCAAATATTTTGGATAAGGTAATATATGCTAAAAAAAAACATGTTAATTACAACTACTGGCATAACTTTTATTAAAAGTGGCTCAAATATTTACATAAATAATTTGTTATAAGGTAACAACTACAGTGATATTAGTTTTAAAACAATAAATGTATGCACAGTGAAACATGCATCAAAACAATTCTGAGGTCTGCAGAGACTTCACTACTCATTATCACATAATACATCTTTCATTTCTTAATTGCTGCAACTGACAACACTATATTCAATAACTTGGTTTATCATGAACATAAAACTGTTAAATATGCTATTTTAAGACAAATAAAATATTAACATAACGTAAATAATTAAGTTCTTAAGCTTTTAATTCATATTAAAAAAATCCAGGCGATATTTATTTATTTTCACTATTACCCTATTAACTTACTTGCAGCGCAATTTGCTGAGCTTTTCTAAAAAGATTAAGGTCTTTCTCCGTCACTCCTGGAGGCAAATGTTGCTTATTAGTTTGTCCTGTGGCGCCATCTATCGAACAAAGTGATATACAATTTAGTTTCTTTTGTTAATTATATAACTGACACTACAGAACTAGCAAAACTTAATCCCTGTGTAGTCTTTAAAAAAAACAACAACATACACTCAAAAAATTTAAATGTTAAATATATAAAATTAATACTTAAGATCAAATACTTTACACGTTTGTAATTAATTTTATCGTTCAATCTGTTATGAGTTTAGAAATATGGTCAAGTCTCAAGTGATGACTGATATTTTAATGTTGCACTCAGTGAAATATTTAAGAATGGTGTCGAAAAAACTAATTTCTGACAAAATCTAATAACTTTACGAAAACTTCACGTTCTAGACACAAACTATAAGCATCCTAGTGTTAACATGAACATGAAAATCATTTCCATAACAAATTATTAATTTTATATAATTATTAGCACAATGATACTCAATAAATGACTAAAAACAATTTTTATACCCTAGATCAAACATCCATTTCTGAAATGCACAATTCCATTGTTCTATGGTTCGAAAGCAAGTTTACAAGTACTAATTTAGAGTTCACATTAAAATAGAAATGGCCAAAGAGAATGATGCACCAACAATCTATTATGATGAAAGTTTCTTTATGTCATTCCAGTTTTTTAAACCAAAGCAATTTCAAATTTATCTTAAAATAATTCTTTCACTTTTCTCGTAATAAATATATGAAAATTTGTGAGATATAATTTGAACAGCAGTTTTAACCTCTCACTGACAAAAAAAAAGCAAGCTTAATTTCGATTTATTTTATTAATACTGTTACATCTAAATTTTAGGTTGTTAACTTATTTGATTAACAAGAAAAACAAGTAATTTTATGTTGGTTTTACGATTAAATAACCTGATCAAAGTTTAATAATTTGTTACTTGGTCTTAAAAAATTCTTAACACCCCACAAGTGTAAACAAGGATTATATAAACTTCTGAACGCGGCTAGCAAGTTAATCGTTTCTACAGTAAATACACTAAAGGCATGTAAAATGTTAAGACGAGCACTGCGTTAAATCCTCTGAAAACCTCCAACCACAGTAAAACATCACAGATTCTGGCTTCTCTTCTATAATAAATAAATATGTAATTTTTCAACTTAACAATAATAAATAATTATGCTGGAAAATCCGATAGAGAATACGCATCATGGTCTATAAAAACAACCATCGGTATAAATTTAACAAAGCACAAACTAATCTTTTTGTAGCAAGATCTTCAGCATCGGTTCTAAAAAATGCTTTTGATGATGTAACAATTCTCTCTCTCTCTCTATATATATATATATATATTTAATCCGCTTTAAATAGCTTGATGACATGGCATTCACTAAAAAGTTAACGCGAGTGAGCAGCCATCTTGTACGAACCAGGTAAGCCTTTAAAACAAACAATGCCGAACTTTTGTAAATCATTTCAATTGGTTAAACCACGAAAGAAGCTTATTTTGCCAGTTACTTGTTTGTTTGAAGTTAAGCACAAAGCAACACAATGGGCTATCTGTGCACTGCCCACCAAGGGTATCGAAACCAGGATTCTAGCGTTGTAAGTCCGCAGACATGCCGCTGTGCCGCTGGGGGGCTGCCAGTTACTGCATAAACACAAACAAAAGTAAAACACCAAATAATTTTCAATACAGCCACGTGAAAATTTCAAATTAATATTAGACCGATTTTAAAAAACGTCCAGCTGAAGCTACCTAATACTATGATGAACTCATTTTCTTCACGTAACTTATAATGATTCATCAATTACTGTACATTACAGCTATTTATATTAAATGTCACTTGTTGCTCAAAATAACTTACGCTAGAAAACTCCAGCGTTTATTTATTGTTGCATGTACTGTTTCTTAACTACAATTTAATAATTTTGCCCACAAACAAGTACATGAAAACTTTCTTTTAACACAAATTAACACTTCACACCAGAATATGGATATGCAATACAAAGAAAACCACTTGTTCCATCAGAGCTAACAATAACGCAAAAAATGACAGAAATTGTACACTTACCGCTTGTAACTATCGTAAGATAAGAGTATGACTAATTACCTAATGCGAGACAGTGTGTGACTAATTACCATGGTTTAAAAACTGATTTCTCAACGTCTTCTTAGTTACAATAAAATAATTTAGACAAAAACTAACATTTTCGGTAAACAGAGTACAACCACGGTATTAAAAATAATAAATAAAATTTCCGCTAGATGGCACACATATAAAGAAACCATAAGGTAATGGATATAGCTTTATAACATAAAACTGGGTACGGCTACGTGCGCAAAATCGGGAAGGTAATGAAAATTTGGTTTGCGTTAACAAATAGCGCCACAGATTTATGAGTTTTAGCTGTTCAAAATTAAATTGTAATTTGTGCGTGTACAAACATAATGTGGTAAATTTCTAATCAGGTTTTGTGGGTAAAATACCAACGAGTCGAAATTATTTAAGTAACGTGAATAAATAAAAGCAATAAATAAATAAGCAAAGTAGATTGGCTGTGAAAACCGAGGCAAAATTAAAATTCTGCTAAAAAGTTTTGTTTCAAACAAGATGGCAACACCGGGTAAAAATAATTACAGTGAGTATTTCTCGAAATACGCCTAGAAAAAAAAAAGAGTTCCGGTTCTTTAATTGAAAATACGTTCTTTCAAGCTACTGTCTTAAAACCAGTTATAATTTTGACAGAGGGAGAAACATTTACAAAAATCACTTTTCACATTAAGATATACGATAAAGAAATATTGTAGTCACAAATCAGTTACGAAATTCTAAGTTTGCAGACGCTTCTTTCAGTGAAGCATCAAATTCAGCATAAAATGTTTTTGACTGCACCTTTTATTTTTATCGCTTACAGGCTGAGACACAGCGAACCCTGGCTAAAGGAAAACGAGTAATGCAATAAACCTTTTTCCACGATTGAGTAATAAACATATATGCATTGTTAGTTAATCGGTCTAAGATTGTAAATGTTCAGTGCTCACACCTGGCCACGTATATTCACGTTGAAAAGTACAACTGAAATACAACAGAATTAGCACCCTCAGTATCCTTCTTTGGAGGATCGCCATCAGAAAGCCCTACAATTCGATGCATAGGCCACGTGGCCATTCTAGCCAAGATAACAAAACTTTGTAAGACCATACAATAAGTATATTATAGCAAAAAAAGAGGCTTAAGTGGTATTAGCAAGTTGTCTAACAAACATGTCATTAATATTGAAATGCTATTGTATACTTCTAACTTTAGAAGATCTCAGTAACCACGATTCCTTGAACAATTTTCAATCAGCCAATAATGTTTGAGTACAAGAAGTCTGTTTTTATGTATGTATGTATGTGTGTGTGTATATAAGACAAGTAATGAATGTTTGACCATAAAAAGCTACGGTTCATAATACGTATAATTCTACCATTTTACTGTTTTTGAACAAGTAGTTTGAAAAAAACATGAAACAAATTATAAAATAAAATAATTTTTATAACTAGGAAAATAAACTGGATACATCAGTGAATATTTACAAAAGAAAATAACAAGAGGGGCCATATAATTTGTAACGACATAAACGCTACTTCCACGAAAACCAATAGCGCACGTGACACCATTCTGTCAGCTGCAAACAAAATGTAGCGTGTGACGTACAAAAAAAAAGCAGTAGCCGACAGGGAAGATGTTATGTATACACTCAGTATGAAATAGGCCAAATAAACAGCAATTATATACGAATACACCCCAGATTGTTGCTTGCTCGTGGTTATACTTACAACTTTAAATGGGCTATCTGACACATTTGTATACATTAAATCATCATTCCCGATCCAACCCCCACTTTTTGTAGATGCCACCTTCAGTTTTAATAACTCAAATTTCCTGGAACTTACGCACTGGCTAAGAGATATGTACTGTATCTGGAATATTACGAGTTGGAAATTTGTATATGGTTAGCGTTCCAAACATCAAAGATGTTAATATGTTCTTAAATAAGCCATGTGTTCATCAAAATACTTTGCTGGCATTAAACCACATATATTAGCTTTCCTTCAAAGTAAATAATAAAACAAATAATGCGTTTTACTATTTTAAATCAATTCTACTGCGAAAATTTGTACGTTTTCAGCAAGCAATTGCAGTAAATTCCAGTGCGCTGTACTTCTTTACCCTCACCAAGATACAAGCTGTTCATCTAATACCTTTCTCTCGGCATGTGACTTTCAACTCGTTAAAATGGGCCATTCTTATATATATATATATATATATACACATACTACTTTTCTACAAGTTATATTTTTACTGGCCAGTAAAAATGAAAAACGGGAATTCACATAAAAAAGTAAAAGTTATTTGATAAACTCACAAACATTCCTTCCAGTCACTATGGATAGAATTCAAGTATACATATAATAATTATGTTACTCTTAATTAACATTACCGAGAAGTCAACCATATTGGATATGTTAATACAAATCGTGTGAATTTAGTGTGGTTTAACTTATAAGAGTGTAAGAGTATTTCTGTCACCGTTGGGTACAGTTGCAATCTGTTACAACAAATCGTGTGAATTTAGTGTGGTTTAACTTATAAGAGTGTAAGAGCATTTCTGTCACCGTTGGGTACAGTTGCAATCTGTTACAACAAATCGTGTGAAT